AAAGCATTAGGTAAGAGCAAGGGTGAATCATAGCAAACCAGCATGTAAACATCTAGTACATGGACAATGCGTAAGTAATAAAGAACCCATCTACATGGACAATGCATAAGTAACAAAGAACACACCTTTATCCATTGGTGAGAGAGTATTTGTTTTGCATTATATCTTTGATTGACATCTACCACCAGCATGTGATCTATAAGATCCTACAAGAAATGACACAATTGTAAGCAGCATTCTACTTTATATCATCGTCATATAAGTTGCATGCTAATATCAATAATCATACAAGTCAAATATCTTGCAATGCTTTCTGAACCTCAACTTCTATGAGAGAAAACATTTGGCGAGTTTATATGTTCTATGTGAAAACTGACCTAACTGACATGGCAAGATTAATTTTGCCTTTTCAAGGTGCTACTACATAGACTGATCTAGTTTCAATCACAGAGAGAATATGTTGTTACATGTACAAATACCAAAACTGCAAACCAAAACAGCAATTACAAAGTCAACACTCTTTTGTTTTTAATATCATGTTTAAAGCTGTAAAAATGCCTTACTTTTGCTGATTCAGATATATGATCCCAGAATGGTGAGAGATACTCAAATTCTCCAGATAAGATAAGATCAAATAATTCATCTTGGTCAGGACTGGGAAAAAAAGATTAAATGTTTGTGATAAACAGGGAATGAAATAGGAAGTTAGGAATTGAAGGCAGATGGAAGAAGGAAAGGAGGAAGAACAAGAGAGAAGGGAGGATGAGAGAGAAGGGAAGAGACTGGGAGACTGGTGATGGGAAAGAGAGAATGGAAGAAACATTAAATGAAAAAATAGAATAGTACCTTCTGAATGGTGGGAAGCCACATAATAAGATGTATGAAATAACTCCTGTAGCCCAAATATCAACTTTTAATCCATATCTACAAATAAGAGATGACAAAAACACTAAATATAAAGCTCTGTTTGTTACAGTTTGTTGGTTTTTACATACCCTGACTCATCAAGAATTTCTGGTGCAACATACGTAGGTGTTCCACAAACAAGAAACATGGGGGATTTCACCTCCATTGCTAAACCAAAATCAGCTAGTTTTAAAGATTTCCGACCATTTGGTAATTCTAAAACCTTAAAAAGAAAGAACACTGTTAACTATGCATAATAAAAACTTATAGACTGAAAGGGAGTATGAGATGAGAGGACGAACAATAACAATTAATTCTAATGAGGCTAATATCATAAAATGGTAGTATCACAAAATGTCTGCACTGTATAATCTTTGTTCACATCTAAGTTCCCAAAGTTCCAAATAGTATCAGCATTGATAGTATGACCTTTTGGAATCCAACAATGTTTTTTCCATCAGGCATAATTCCAAAACAGAGATTTCAATAGCTATAACTTTCATTATAAATGTTAACTTACCAGTAAATTCTCAGGTTTGATATCTCTATGTACAATATTATTGCAGTGTAAATAATCCAAGGCAGAAGCCAAGTCTCGTATCATATGGCTAGCATCAAGTTCAGTGTATTTTGTAGCTTTTACTATCGCTTCAAATAAATCACCTCCCTAAAATACAAAAAAACATAAKTAAGGTGTGTTGAGGGCTTACCTTGTATACAAGCATAATGGAAACCAATTCTATTTATTAGTAGAGACTATGTTTACCTAGTCTCCTTTGCAGCCTCCCCTTTCGTCGGGCTTCCTGTCCCTCCCAAAAGAGGACAGGAACGGACAGGAGGGACAGGAAGCCCGACAAAAGGGGAGGCTGCGAAGGAGACTAATGTTTACCTTGACAAGTTCCATAACTAAAAATATTTCTCTGTGRGTTTCATATTCTTCTATTAATTCTACAATATGGTTATGTTTTACTCGTCGTAAGATATTAATTTCATTTTCAATCATGTGCTCCTGAAAGATAAACAGAATGACGGTTAATAACATTCTCACTAAACACAACAATAATCTGAGTGAGGGTGTAATCACAGCATGTCTATACAACCTACAATTGTAATCTCCTCTTGCAGCCGTTACAAGGTCCGTTCTCAGGTCTCTCTCACTAACGTTAGGGGAGAGTGACCTGAGAACGAGCCTCATAACAGCTGCAAGAGGAGACTTATACACACAACCTTGACTGATATTGACAACAGTACATGTTTATGCCATGTACCATACAACATCAGCTCTAGAGAAGTGCAACACAAAAGGTCATTTTCATTTATCCATAGTTTATTAGCTGAACAAATACAATAATACAATCAATTTACCAACCTTTCCTTTAACCTTCCCTTTGTTGATAATTTTTAAAGCATATTCTTTATTAGTTTTCCTACAAAAAAAAACAACAAAAAAAAAACATTAGGTTTAATTTCAAGGTCTTTTTGTTCAATTTCTCATGAGATGAATATCTTACCTATGTTTACATTCTCTAACAATGGCAAAGTTGCCATCTCCAATTATTTTTCCAATTCTGTACAATCCATGAACCGACACCCTGCGCTTTTTACCCCATCTGGATTCCTTGACTGGAACTATAAATTGAAATAGTTTAATAACTTTGATTATCTTTAGCATGACAGTTACTAAACTCATAAATATAAACACAGTTGAACTACATAGTATCTTGAGGCAGCATTTCATTTCCCTTCTCAGTCTCCTCTCTTTTTTAAACACAACAGGAATCCCACAAGTGTCAGGTGTATATTATTCAATCAAACTTTGATACTGAACAGTGACAATGCATCATCTAAAGCTTTTTCCTTTAATACTTTTTGATATTCATGCAAAGCAAGTATGACATTATARTATGTGAACTGAGAATTGAATAAGAAAATAAGAACAGAAAAAYTAGTTGAATTTCATTCTTTGATTTACCTATGGTTTTTACAGAGAAAGCCTTTTATTATTAGCTATTGAATTAGAATTCATGCAAGTTATGAGGTCCAAGTTATGATTCACTATTTAGTTGAAGTGGTTTTCAGTGGAATAGTTTTAATTTCACTGTTTTCATTTTGTGTTCATTTTTATGATAACTACATAATATTATATTACATATTGTTATTTGTTTCACAACTAGCAAATTACTGTTATATATATCAAGAAAKGTTCTTAAGCATTTCAGAATTTTAATATTTTTTATTAAAAGTGAAAAAGTGAAAATAAAGTGAAAGTAAACATATTGTAATTTATTCATTAAAAGGAAGTTTTCAGGTGTTTTTCTTTCATGCTGTGTACTGATATATCTGGTGTGTGTAATTGTTTAGATAATGTATAGAACACCTACAGTTATAATGCCTTTCTGTATATTAATGCTACCAACGATTTATTGTGCTTTAATTAAAAATGGGAAGTGYGAAGCTTACAAACAATGTTAACATTACATGAAATGAAAACTACAAAAAATAACAACAACACAATATAAGACAGGCATAAGGGTGTGACGCTGACAAGGTTATCTAGGAGCTGTTGGAACTTGTGATTTAATAATACTATCATATGGGTTACTTTAGATCAACATCACACATCAAGAGACTAAAAATAGAAGGTTAAGTTATGRATAAAACATCTTATATCATCTTTGCATTACATTTTAGACAATAWTCACATCATATGTGGATTGTACAAGTGTATAATTCATAAAAACTTTCATTATGAACTTAATGYAAAATTCCATGAAAAATGACAGAAATCTAAGTCTAAGGAAATGAAAATCCCTAAGAAAATCAYAAAACCAATTAAAAYCCCRAAGAAAATGAAATGAATGATTGTTGATTTTAAATCTTTTAGGAAGCTAAATGTCAACTGTGCTGATCTTTGTCTTTGCAAACAGTAAAATACTAGATSCAATCAATACAAAATCCTATTACTGACTGAATAAACATAGACAATGTCTACATATCAGACATCCAGACTCCAATCACCTAAAATTCTACATTATTGCCCACTCCTACACGATCAATGTGGGAAATTCATTAAAAAACTCATCCAATATAATATGGATATTGTTTCTTTATATTTAGGTGCTTTGAATTGAAAGGAGGCAAACAAAGACTTTGTTATTCACAAAATCGCAGATTTGTTTCATTTATTTTTTTATTTACTTTTTCACTCTTGTTTTTCAGATTAATGTGAAGGTTTCTTAGTTTCATTTAAACCACAACCGATTTACAATTATTGGATCAATTAACAAGTAATAATCCCTTTATTTACAGCTCTGTTGCATTATTTATCAACTGTTAGAATTACTCTTTTTATAGCATTTAAGTTGGAAAGCACTCAAGCAAAAGAAAGATTTATGTTTTATGTTTTATCTGGATGAAAAGAAAAGAACAAAGAAAATATAGCCCTTGAGATCTAATGGATATCAAGCACCTGGTCATCAACAATAAGCGTCCTTAGGTTTCTATTCAAGCCTTACAGATTAAATAAGAAGGGCAACATGTTAGAAGTCACCTGACATTCACATAACATCAGTAATAGAAGGCAGATGATTGGCTGTTTGAATACCTAATCAATGTGAAGAACAAATRAGTGCCAGGAATAGATACAACCAATGAGTGCCAAGCTTAGATATGTCAAAAACCAATCAGATAAGACAGGAACACATACTGATGGACTGTTTACACCATACAAAGCTAAAGGAGCCAGTTACAACAGTGGACTATCACAGCACTCTRAGAGATGGCACCTTATTAAGGCATCTACAATGCCCCTCATGTATTATGATCCAGAAGAAAGAGACCATTAATAATTCAGTACCTACTCTACAATGACCCTAGATACAAAATATCAAATTGAATGGCACATCATTGTTAAGGGTCACSAAACAACTTTGAATYCATCAGCAGGTTCCTGCTGTGGGAGGCTTTTTATTGGCTGGTTTAAAATCATTTAGTATGTTGTGGYCTGACAGGAATCAATCGGGTAWTCAACCACTTTGAATACAATATTGAAGAAAATATTACAGACAACTTGTTGAACTGGTTCATGAAAGAATAAACACTGGCTCCATGAGACCATTACAAGAACAACATGCATCTTATCATTTAGTAAAATAACACACTATTTTCAATATCAGGAAAATACTTTTTTAACATTTAACAATGCATTACATTGTTGTTCAGTTGATTCATGTTCACTGAAAAACACCTGCCACAACAGACAGACAGACAGAATAGATGTGTAATTTTTTTCAGAAAGGACTTGAAATGGTGTTGAAGCAAAGATAGGCAGAAAGTATTTGCATCTTATCACACAACAACCTGAAATGTTTTATTTTCACTTTATCAAATTTATAGTTTTATTGATCATCACACACTTTTTAAAATGCCAAGAATTCTACAACTTCAGAAGACATTTTATAAGCTATAAAGACTACATTATMTRRMGYAAAWTTWA